AAGAAAATCTAATGGCGTCAAATCAGGAGATCCAGCAAGCCCTACCCATTTATTCTAAAACTCATCGTCTAGGGATTGCCGAACCGGAAGGACATAGTGAGGAGGAGCGCCGGCTTGCTGAAAATATATTTCAGCCTCATCAAGTATAGGGTTTCCATTCTCTTCGATTTGGTTATCAATGTTTTCAGTGATATGCGGATTGATGGTATTTTCCAAAATTTCCAAATAAATATCTCCATTCAAATTAATAAACAATGGCCCAAGCACTTTGTTTACTAAAATGCCTGCCCATAGATAAATTTTTTGGAGGTACTTCTACAAAAGCATGAAGATCTTCATTACTCCAATACCTGCAGTTATGCTTATTAACAAATCCGTTTAGATAAAATGTGCATTCATCACTGAATTCTTTACATAAATGGTATTATCATTAATCGCTACAGTCGTTTATTCACGAAACTCAACTTGCCTATCGAAATCATCTTCGGTAAGCTCTTGCAATATTTTCATTTTGAATGGATGAAATTTATGGAGTTTGGTAACTGTGTGTTCAGAGCGTAATGAAATACCAGTCGCAGCAACAGTTTTGAGTAATGAAGTATTAGGATTTATTCCAAAATAACCCAAAACCTCGGCTTCATCCAAAACTCTTCGATGATGACGTCTTTTATTTGAATCAGGTCCAGGTTGAATATATACTAAGTGACATATAAATCCGAACACCCAGTTTAAATGGTTTTATTTTAATAAAAGTTGGTGAATGTATTTATCTTACTGTAAATAACAAGCGAAAAAATTTTCAGCCTTATCAGTTGGACATTCCGGTTTTTATACTGCTTTTTTTTAATTCACTATCGCTCTAAAAATGAATATTCCAGCCGCAGTAAAGAATCAACGTTGGCGGATTTTGGTTCTTGACATCCTTTACGATCGGTTACGATGCCTAGAGTACGGAGACCTGTACGATTTCGTTAACTTAGTGAGTTTGATAGGGGCCGTATAGTGGGACTTCGGGAAGCTGGACTTTCTTTTCGGGCAATTGCAGTTAGAGTGCAAAGAAGTGTAGACACTGTGGTTAGGTGTTGTCAGGCATGGCTTCGAGAAGGCCGTACGCAAAGAGCAAGGGGCACTGGACGCCGCCGTAGAACAACAGACCGTGAAGATCGCCGCCTAAGATTATTGGCCTTAAGGGACCGTTTCTCCACTACCAGGTCCATTGCAAATGAATGGTTTGCATAACACGGAAGACCTATTGGCATGCGAAGTGTTTATCGACGAATGAGAAGTTTTGGCTTGTTTTCATACCGGCCACACTGGGTCCTCCCTTTAACTCGAGAACACCGACGTGATCGCCTTGAGTGGTGCAGACAACGGTCACTCTGGGATCAGGAACGGAACAGTATTGACTTTAGTGACGAATCTCGATTTTGTTTAGGCATGCACGATGGTCGTGCCAGGGTTAGAAGGCGACGTGGCGAAAGGAGGAGTCCACAGTTTTTTGTTGAAAGACATGTTCATCACACTGTTGGAGTTATGGTTTGGGGTGCTATAGCTTATGGTTCCAGGTCATCTTTAATCTTCATCAGAGGTAACATGAACGCGCAGGGTTATATCCACGAAGTTCTAGAACCCCATCTTTTACCCTATCTTGACACCCTGGCAGATCCAACTTTCCAACAAGATAATGCCCGACCACATGTTGCAAGAGTCACAATAGACTTCTTTCAACATAATGATGTCACATTGTTACCATGGCCACCAAGATCTCCCGACTTATCCCCAATTGAGCACGTGTGGGATATGATGGGTAGGAGATTGTTCAATTTGCAACGTCCTCCTCAGACTCTAGAAGCACTTCGAGAGGAGTTAGTGGTTGCCTGGAATGGGATACCACAGGAGGACATTGACCACCTGATCAGAAGCATGCCTAGGCGCGTTGGAGAATGCGTAGCACATCAGGGTGCATCCACACATTATTAAAGGTCAAAGGGCTTTAAAGCAGTGCAATCATTTTGAAATTTTTATCATTTACTTATTATGCTTCATTAAGTGCTTATACAAAATTTTATTAAAATAAAACCATTTAAACTGGGTGTTCGGATTTATATGTCAGTATATTTAGTAACAAGGTCCAAAGTCGAAGTTATCTTCCCCGGATGTCTGGCGTTAAACGTGACGACAGTTTGCCGAGCGCATTGATTTTTCGCACAATAAATTAGAATCATTTCCACTCTTTCGGCTAGTGTCTGACCATTTTTGAAGAAAAATCTGAATTAATAAATTAATTTTTACTGTCCCAAGATTGTCATAAAGGTATATGAGAGCAAATTAAATTATTTCTTTCCCTTAGCAACAAATAACTAAGCAGGTATAACAATATATACAGTTCGCCCAGGATATTTGTGTTGACGAAAAGAATGCGGTAGAAAATTCGGGTTGTTATTTGGTTGGCCACGTCTAATCTGCTGAATTGAAAACAAATCGACCGATTCCAAAAAAGTAAACGTCAAAATAAAGGACTTTCAAACAAGCTATTATTCGATACCCCTTGTCATTTAAAATTTTTAAGGGGATGACCCTGGGGGCAGAGGGCGAAAGGGGGTGAAGTAGTTGTTGGTTAAAATGTTTTCCCCTTGACAAATCTTTTGATCTGCCTCGGCGTTTTTCATTTTAAACATTGGTTTTCGATAAATCCATGGTGGAAAGTTTTCAAACGAACACCCTGTATTATTCATTTTACATGTGCTATTAATAGCAGGTGCTTAACCTCACCCCACGTACGTAGTATGTTTTTTGGTCAATAAAAATGATTATTATTGTTATTATAATTAAAACTAATAGGCCTCAAAGGATTAAGCACCCTTTATGAAAACGAAGCATTTTTAGATCTGTGATTTCAGAGTTCTTAATATGTCGTTCTGCTTTTTCGACAACATTCTGTGATACCCTGTATGTGTAAAGCGATTCATATGTCCTTGCGACGACCGTTTTTCCAACCGATTTATCTTTCTCCGTATACCAGTCCGAACCAGTTTGTCTTGCTTTCTTTTCATCCAGTCCGAATCCCAGATCGTGGTGTCCGCAGAATATAGTGGTGCAAAATCCACCTCGTACCATCTCGCGTATACATCGTAGATTTTCCGCAAAAAAAAAGAGAATTTTCCTTGTTGGCGCACAACACATGTGCTACTCTAACGGATTGGGGGTTACCTATTGCATTCTCTACAGAACTAGTGTTAGTAGCGTCATTGTATGTGAAAAGAAGTATAATTATGTCACTAGATGATTCGAAGAGTTTCTGGATTCTAAGCGAAAAAAAATGTCGTCAAATAGATCGACTTTGCACTTCCTATCTAACGCAGTCAGTAGTTCATGCAGGCTTAAGTCCGGCGCAATTTCGAACATTTACGAACATTTTTTTATACTCCAACTACCACGAACGCCTAAGGTCTAAGCACCCATTGGGTACCGCGGGGCTATAGGGGGATACAGGGCTAAGGGGGAACGCCACACGGACTCTGGCGAGGGAACACGTGTGCATGCAACATGCACACATTCTGGCTCCGCCTACCAGTTCCGCTGGGTGGTACCTCCGCGTTCGACAGTCAGAGACCGTGTACCACCTACGGACAACCACAACATCCATAGAAAAGAGAAAAATTTCTCCTGGGACGGGAGTGGAACCCGCACAGCGCACGGCGACTGATCACGAGACCGAAGAAGTCTACTACTGCGGCCACCGCTGCTGCCTAGACTGCAGTGCCATCGGCATCATACAACATGTACAACAGAGAAATTAGGTCAGTCAAACGAGCCCATGCAATTAGTCCATATACATTATTTCCCTGCCCTACCGGTAGTTGCTGTCCACCTGGCAACATTGTCCCTTTGCATATCCGCGCGGCATCCCTGCAGCAAGAAATCGTTTATTTCTTGCACGGTCCGTGTATAATTTTTGCGTTGCAGTACGGATACATTACGGACTGGCTCACCGAGCGCTGAGCTTAGTTCGCGAAAGCTTCAAAGGCATATGTGCCGGGAAATATATGATGTGTGAAATTTGACTAATAGGTGCATAGAAATACCGGGCTGGGAGCATATAAATATACTGAGATCAAAAATCTTTCATATACTCTGTCCCACCCCGACAACCCTCAATCCCGAAATTTTAACCTCTACAAAAATTTTCTGAAAATGATCAAGACCTTCGGAAAGATCAAAAAGCGAGGTTTGAGCGAGTTTTATTTTCTTCGTTTTTGCTTTTTGGTCCTTGGTATAGTAGCAACCTTGTGTGAAAATTTCATCCGAATACGTACTTCTCAGGTTATAGACAGGTTTAGGATTAGCGGACAGCCCGACAGACAGACAGACCGATGCAAATAAGTGACATATTTTTTCGTGATTCACATGTCAGATAACATCAAAAAAACACAATATCCCATTTTTTTCAAACTTTTCGCGATTCCAATACTTCCGCGTCGTAGGAATTTAGAAGATTGGTTTTTATCTGAAAAATACATTCATTTTTCAATATATTCTCCCTTGAGTTGTATAATACATTCTTTCTAGGTCTTTTATTTAAATTGTACCTTTCCTGGAAGCCCTTCAAGATTGCATTGTCTCGATGGAAAATGTTGTTTTCTTCTGTAAACCTAGTCTTTTCTCCTGAATATTTTCAACTATCTGAATGAGGATGTTACAATATTATTACCAATCAGGTAATATATCAATAGTATCTCTTCTGCGTCCAAATAATGGAGTAGGTTGAGTTACTTGGTTTTGAATCATGTACATGTCATATAACGTCTAAAAAGCAATATCTAATTTTCACATATTTTTCCCGATTATAATAATTGTTCCTCGCCAGTGACGTAGGAACTGAAAAAACGGATGTCATAATCTGTTCAAACTGATTCCTATGTAGAATATAATATAAGAAGCTATAGAAATTTGTAAATATGTAACATCTGCTAGTCTTGACTATGGCATTATTGTTTCAGATATGCTGAAGGGCTACCTTTGTTTCGTAGTGTCTATCTTCTGCATAGGTCTCGTGACGGCAGTCATTGGTGATTGCGCTTCCCACTTTGGAGCAACGTTAGGAATCAAAGATGCCGTTACAGCTATCGTTTTCGTGGCGTTAGGAACCAGCATTCCAGGTACGTTATTTGTCACTAATATTTATTTATTGGATGGTAGTCAGTATTTCTCACTAGAAAAATAGCGTCAAGTAGGTTGACTTCCCAGGTAACGCCAAGGATTATGTCCAGTACAAGTTTGGGAAAAAAGTTAGTTACGAGCATGCATAAGAAAGAAATTAAATGAATCAAGTTAGTCAAACAGGCCCATACAATTAGCAAATAGACATTACTTCCTTGCCCTACCAGTAATACCGTCCATCTTGCATCGTCTATCCTACGACACTAATCGAGGGCGGCACGCCCGCCGGTGAACTCGGAGAGTAGAAGCAGAAACACGTATCGAAAGCATTTCTGTTTCAGGAGCGAATGTATGAGGAAATATATGATGTGTGAAATATGTCCAAAAAGTGCGTAGAAACACCGATATTGGCTGCAAGTAAATATGTTAAAATCAATAAATTGAGATATACCCCCCTTCACCCCCCACATTTTACTGAAAATTATCAGGAGCCTCTTGAACGTCATAAACGAATTTTGTGCGATTTTATTATTTTGGTATTTCCCCCGTAGCTGTGCGGCCACTGGACTGATTTTCTAAAATCATAAATCTTTTTTGTCCTTTGTATAGTATGAAGTTCCAAATCCGAGCTGTTCATTTAAAAATATAGACAGGCCAAGGATCAGCAAACAGACAAATCGACAGACTGGCAGCATAGTTCAAGCTCTTCATGACGTATAAAATCCAAAAAACATAATATCTCATTTTCGCGATTACCATACTTCCTAAGTAGCGTTGTAGAAAGTAAAAGCGAACAATACAAAAGTAGATAAGCTAGGCTGATTCTGGATCAAAATTGTCAAAGATGTGCAAACACATGTGGATCCAAAAAACACTGGAAATATTTTTCTAGATTCTAAAGTAAAAAATAGAAGTAATAAAAAGAATTCCATCAAATGTATGTAATAAAATATCTCATTACTGAAATACAGGAAGTTGTAAATTTTCAAGCCACTGATTACCCTTGGTAAGGACCAAACAGGGATATCTTTCATATAACGCAATTGTGAGATAGAATCACTCTCTCAATGCACCACATTCAATTTTCAGTGTCAAAATTCATAACTTCAGTGTATTTTCAAAGTAGACCAAGTTGAAGTTTTCATTCGGCTCTTACATTGAATACTCATACCATTTTTTTACAAAAGCAGTTAACTGACATTAATGTCTCAAGAAAAGTGATTCGTGTAAAATTGAACACCTTATTCAAAACAGATGTTTCAAAAAAGTCAAAGGTGTAGAAAGTATTTTTGTCTTATTTTGAATACTTCTACGCCGCTCCGAAAATACAATTTTTTAATGTCGAAATTAAAACCTCTCGATTTTATGCCCAAGAAAAATCGACACTACTTTCTGAATCACCCTGCACAGTATAAACGTCCCTGTACGTCTGTTTGATACAAAAATCACTTTAACATGTTCCTGAAATGGTACATTTGAATTTTTGATCCTTTAGAAATAAATCAATAGTAATAAGTCACTAGAGTATGTCGCCAGCTTTTGGAGTATAAGAATATTGATACAACCATAATGAACACATATAATATATACATATTTGTGTTTCTGTAGTATTTGGGGTTCCGATGCACGAAACATGCATCAGTTATATTATGAGATTAAAGTCGCACGTGCCTTTCTTCTACAGCCTGTCTGGAGTACTCTTAATTAATTTTTTTTGACAAAAAATGAATACACTGTTTTTTAGCGCTCTCTATAAACACCATGAAATAATCAGATGAAAAGGATTTAATAATAATAATAATAATAATAATAATTAACGTCTTTTATTTGTAATATTCTTACAGGAGGCGAGATTTAGATTATATATTGGATTGCACTCCAAAAGGCAGCTGGAAAAATGGCATCAAGTAGATTGACTGTATACCTCCCATGCCTTGGTTGGAGGTTTCAAAGACAAGGAATGAGTCAAATGGTTTCAAAAGCCCAAATCGAAACGTGATTAGGTAGCTTCACTTAGGTGCGATGAATTTTCGACCGCTGCATATCGAACTGTATAAAGCAAATCTATCATATTTCTGTTTCCATGGCAGATGTAGGGAAAATATGTGTGACATTATATCTAACAGGAGCATAGTACCACTGTGCTCAGCAGCTTCTTAATAATAGAAGGTCTTTCACTGACACCATGCAACAATTTACAACCATTTACCGCATACAGCTTCTAACCTACAATTTTTATCCCCTCCAAACAATGTTTGAGAATGAGCTGACTCTCTGAAACGTAACACTATGTTTCAGTGATATTACTTCCACCGCCTCCGAATTAATTTTTAAAACCTAGGATTACCTAAACAATGGAAGTATTCAGTTCATAAGTTTTCTGCTACTTGAAAATATCTGCATCACATAGTCCGGGTTTCTCATTTATGTCGGTTTGTCAGTCCGTGTCTGTTGTATATCACTGCGTCATAAGTACTGAGCCAATCTACTTGACGAACCATTATAGACGGAGCAACACAAATTGAAGGTTGGGCGAAATGGGTCGTACATTCAAGGATTATAGAATTCAGAAAAATATATGTGTAGATTTGAAAACAGTTGATTCATCATTTACAAAAGCACCGCAGAACGCTAAAGTGGTTACGTACTCCTGACATCCAAGTATTGTTAAAATATACAGCGTGTTCCTTAATGATATGCGAATATTTAAGGGTGTGAATCTACATGAAAAACTAGTGACAGTTTGCTTTATAAACTATGGTCCAAAAATGTTTTCTTACAAAAACTCGGGGTGTTGAAGTTTTAGGGAAAAAATGGAAATTAATTAATATTTTCCTATCCGCTTCAGATATTTCACTGATATTTTATAGGTAGTGGAAGCCAATAAAATTGCATATTTTTCAATGCAAAAATAATTTTTAGCTTTAGCACTGGCGTACGTACGGGTATTGACTTCGATATTTAAAAAAATGGTACGCCAATGGTTTTTTGCCAAATAAAAAATATATTTGAATTCCCCGTTTAATTTAAAACAAATAATCTCTCTTGGATTGCTTTCCCTCGATGCGCCATTTTTGAGTAAAAAAATAAAAACCGTTCTATTGTCTAACTTGCAAAATTATTATTTATTTAATTGGAAATATTAAACACATTAGGGGTAATGAACAACAACAACCGACAACATAAACGTAACATCAAAACCAAATAAATGAATACAAAAATTGTTGAAAATGGCCCCCTTCACTTATTACGCATGCTTCCGCCCTCCTTCTCATGGAATTGCGCACTCGTTGAAATATCCCTGGAGTGTTTTTTCTTCTATCAAAAGCTGCAACTATTCTTTCTCTCAATTCCTCTACAGTGTTAATGGGACTTGTATCCACTAGTGTCTTAAGATAGCCCCACAAAAATAAATCTAAACTGTTGAGGTCTGAGAACCACCGCGGCCAATCCAACGATTTGGATAAACAGTTTGTAAATAATGACGAACTACTACATGCTGGTGCACCAGCATGCATGTACCACATATAGTTTTTTATTACTAACGGAACATCATCAAGCGGCAAAGGCAACTGTTGTTGAAGGAATATGAGGTAAGTCTGTCCGTCAAGAAGAATGTGCCAATAACGTGGTTGCCAATAATTCCTGTCCATACGTTAACCGAAAATTGATGTTGGAAATCGGTTTCGGTTACGGCATAGGGATTTCCTTCTGCCCACAATTGATCATTGTGGAAATTCTGAATGCGGACTTTATGTAATTTTTTGAAGATACCACTGACCACTGGAAAATCAATGGGAGATCTTCCTCGTACTCGTTTCAGGATGTTCTTCGACTTCGTGCATCATTGCTTCCTCAATTTCAGGTGTTCTCACACTTAGAGGTCTACCTTCGATGTTCCTTTTCGGACAGAATCAGTTTTAACAAGACGATGATGAATATTAGAAATGGTTCGACCAAAGCACAATCGGGATATCTCTGGTGATAAATCCGTCTGGCTTGTTCACCATTACCGTCGGCAAGGCCATATACGTAATGCATTTCCGCCATTTCTGCATTTGAATAATTCACCATTATTAACAAGATTGTAAAAACCAAATAATGAAAAAGATGTCACAGCGAACAGATTTGAATAACAGAAACTTGTTAGATGTCAAAAGCCAGTGACATATTCCAGAGCAGCTTGATATTTATTGCTAAATTGCATTCTTCAATTATTACATTAATTTTCTCGGACAATAGAACGGTTTTTATTTTTTCGCGCAACAAAGGAAAACAATTCAAGAGAGATCATTTGTTTTAAATTGAACGGGGAATTCGAAAATAATTTTTATTTCGCATACCATTTTTTTCTTACAATATGTCAAAGTCAATACTAGTACGCACGCCACTGTTAAAGCTAAAAATCATTTTTACATTCAAAAATATGCAACCTTATTGGCTTTCACTACGTACTAAATATCAGTGGCATATCTGAAGCGGTTCTGAAAATATTAATTAATTTCCATTTTTTTTCCTAAAACTTCAACACCCCTAGTTTAGACCATAGTTTATCAAGCAAACTAACATTAATTTTTCATCCAGATTCACAACCTTGAATATTTGCATATCATTAAGGAACAGCCTGATATTTATCCTGTATCGGTGTGTCAGTGATGACACCACTGCAGACCAGTTGGAGTTTGTTACCCATTGCACAGTCGGCAGTAGCCTCCACGATGATGCAGCATCACGCCGTGCACGCAACGCCAACGATTTCGAATTATAAGCACAGTATACATCGGACTTTTATCATTTAATTCACCTATTATTCCGGAATCAGAATCTTCTTAATGATAAGACGTGTTTGACTACAACTAAAGACGTTACATTTACAACTTCTACCTCCCACCCTAGCACCGCCATCACTAGTCCAATTTTCAAAAACTAGTACCTTTCATCATTGGCATAGTACTAACCTTGTGTGGAAATTTCAACAAAATACGAGCGGCATTTCTCA